TTGCTGCTTGCTGTGGGGAGGAGGAAGGAATTGGGAATCTGTGGTTGCTTGAACTTTGTGTACAGAATTTGGGGAATTGTAAGGGTAACAAAGCCAGACTTTAAAGATTTGCAGTACAGCTGTCTTTTGGTTTAGGCCTTTGGTAGGGAAGCTGTGCGGTTTGTGTCCTCAGGGGATCTCCTGGATAAATTTGCTATCTCTGGGAATGGAGTCTTGTGTAATTCTGTCTGTTTGAAAGAAACAGCGGATCATGCATATTGCATCCAAGATTGTAATGAGTAGATTGACTTCTTTCACAAAGGGAGCCATCCTGGTATTAACACTGAGGTTTAAAATGTCAATACTTTCAGTAAGCAAAATGTACCTGTATTTTATATAGGTATAGCTCTAGGTATGACTGACTGCTTCTGGATTTTCTCCAGTTTTTCAGATACTCTTATTTGTTGTTGCTGGATGCCTTGTAAACAAGATGATTGTAAACAAGAAAGCCTGTCATGTTATGAACTGCAGGGGGCTGATCTTTGGGTGACTATCTTGAAAATTAATGACACAGTTCTTCACTTGGGTTTAAACTGCTTCTTTAGAGTAGGAACTTGGAAGCAGTGTGAAGAAGGACTTTTTCCTGCATGGACTTCTTTTGATTCTTTTAATCTTGTGCTTTTGTACCCATGGGTTGTTCTTGACCTTGAAGTAAATTGAAAGCCAGCAAGATGTGCGTGCGTTGTGACGCTAATATGTTTTTGTTCTCTGACTTAGTGTCTTTATCTCTCAAAATACTGCAGCCAGTTGATAGAATAATTTCAAACTTTTTTTTGGTTTTAATTTCAAAAGAGCTTGTGTTTCATGCTAGTGGTCTGAATTGCTGTGATTCTGTGACTTGGTGAGCTGCTCCTAACTTGCTCTTGAGGTTACTTCAAACTGAGGTTAATACCATCTGTTTCTGTTTCATGTGTGCCTTTGTGCTTGTTCCAGATCTTTGGAAATGTCTACGTGCTTGCGTGGTGAAGGCCTGCCCTGTGTAACTTAATTATTCTGTTCTCATTGCCTTTTTCTCATCTTAGTTTTTCTGGAAACAGTATTAAAGGAATTCCATTTTCTTGGCTTACCCTTGTCACCTCCTGTTCTGATTGAAATGCCTGAGAAGGAACCTCGTTATTTATTCATCTGCTAGAGAGGTATTTCAATGAGGGAAGGAGGTTGAGCAAGCAACAAAGCAGTCTGGGCAGCTACACATCCTTTGAGAAGCTCTGTGACAGGAGTGGTTCAAGTCTGGAATAAGCAGTGCATAGCAACAGTGTTTGCTTTATTTTGATAGTCAAGAACGCCAGGAGTTGCATGAGTGTTTGCACTATATTTGCCGTGTGTTGACAGCATCTAGGAACAGATGAAAAGCTGCTCTACCTCTAGCCCGGGACTGGTGAGCCACCAACATTCAGAGTTGGTACTATGCAGGCATGCAGGTCTTGCTACAGGCTACCAGAGCTCACATGGAGTGGATTTATAGAAGAAAAAATAAGAAAATGAACTGTATAAGATCTGTGAGAGTCTGGTAGCTCATAATTCTGCTTTATGTTGTTGATATTGTTAGGGTTTGATTAGACCAAAGATGTTAGGGGACTCAACTGAATGAATGTCAAGCCCCATTAAAACTGGTTCTGCCCTTAAATAAGAGAAGACTGCATTAGGATGGTCAGTCTTCTCACAGGGTTATTCCTTATGGCTGCCATTAACCAGGTTTTTCTGGTCAGTTTGCTTTTTTGTTGGGTTAATTTTTAAAACATAAAGGTTTTTGTTAAGTTGACAGTGCAGCTGAGTGAACTTGATTATTCCAACCTACTCTTTGTGCAGTTGCAACCGAGTGATTAACATTTTAAGTCAACAATCTACACTTTCAATCTAAACTGTTGCTATGTTTATGAGTCAGATTGCCCTCCCTTGACTTGGGAACGCAATGAAGAAGAACAGTCTTTTAGGTGCACTGAATCTAAAATTAACCTTCCACCTGGGTGGTTGGATTTGTAAAGCTCTTTGCAGTGTGTTCAAGAAAAAAAATAAATAATTAGACCAGAGAATAAAATGGTTTCTAAATTTAAAGGCCTGACTTGGCTTTGGTGTTGTCCTGTGAGAGGGGAACTGCAGCACCAGCTTAGGACTTGTAGAGCTGGGCTTTGGATCCTGCTTCTGCTGTGCAGAGCTGCTGTGCAGAGCTGCTGTGTGACATCAGCATCCTGCACCTTGGTGAAATAGGGTTTAGTGCAGCAGTCCATGAGGTTCTTAAGGGTGAAAAAAAAGTTTGAATGGATTTTAGACTATTTTGCTGAACAAGTAGTCCAAATACAGCTCTCCTATGGTGTGACTGGTGGTGGAGCTTTCTGGTGCAAGTGCTACTAGATCATCTGTATCTCCAGCTGTGGAAGGAAGCAAAATAGCTGGATGGTACAGAAGGACCAGTCAGAGTGGGATAGGGGTGCAGCAGGTCACTGCTGTCTGGCAGAACTATATGCTTGCACCAGAACTATGTTGTCTTGATATGAACTGGAGGGACTGGTAGATCAGAAATAGCTGCTGGCAAGGCTGAAACCTGGACTGCAAGGGTGTTGTGACCCTTCTCAGATCTGCACCAGGAATATGCCTTAATGCCTTGTATAAGTATTACTCTACTTGGTCTTACTTATCTCCTATGCTTGCCACAGAGTGAGGGTGCTGGGTGCAAGCTGCTTCTCTCTGGGTCTAGGCTAGGTTCTGCTGGATCTGCAAACCTAAATTCTGTTTCAGTGGGAATCCGTGGAGATTTCTGGGTTGTTACGTGAGCTGGCTCCAAACCAAGCTGAACGTGAAGGAAATGTGCATCTTGGAGCTGCTTTGATCTGTGTAACCTAGATCCCAGGGCAGTGTAGGGCAGTGACTTGGTGCAAGAAGAGTAGTTGTATGGCTGCTGAGGGTCTTTAATAAAGCAATTAGGAGAGCTCTTAAGATGTTTGCTTAGCCTGGGTTGTGCACTGGGAGAATGCTCTTTAAGTGCAAATTTGGCTGCCAGTGTTTCTGGCATTGGTGTGGCCAAAACCAAGTCCCTCAATAACCTAAAATCCTCTTTCCAGTTTCATGTTGCCAGCGATGGTTCTTATTGCCTGGTGTGTATTAGAAATGTAGTGGGATATCATGGCAACGCATGAAAGTCTGGTGCTAGCAGGGTGGCTTTGTTTAAATCTAATCCTCTTAGGAGAAGGCTGTCAGCAAATGTGAGAAAATGGAGAGGAGTGCTAAGGGTCAAGAGTTAATGTGAGGGATGTCATCAAAATTTTTAACTCCTAATGGGTAAAGATAGAAGTAAAAAGTTGAAAGGGAAAATAATGATTTGGGGTGGTAGCCGTAGTAGAACTGAGAGGGATGGGCATGGACCAGGAAGGTAAAAAAAATTCTTTAAAAATCACCTCAGATTGACTATTTAGGTGCTCTGCCAGGCTATAAAGTGGCATCTCAACTGGAGGCCTGTTATTTGGATGTTCAGGAATAGAACAGAGATGTGAGAAAGGTGGAGATGGGTACTAAGCCAGGGGTTCCCCTCTGCCTTTGTCAGAGGTGGGCTGGGTAGAGTAACATGTCTTTTCAGTCTTTCACTTTCATGTTCCCATGAAGAAAACCAACCAAAAACGTTTTTATTCTTGTTCTCAGTGCTGTTACTGGCTCCAGATGTTCCTGGAATGATGGTGATTATTTTAGCTCTGACCTTTAGAAGAGAAGTGCTGCCTGTGTGCATGTTAGGAAAAATATGAGCAAAATATGCATGCACATGTGTAAATATTGTGTCTTTTATGATTTGAAATGCTGCTTAGAAGCAAATTAATGCCAGGACTACTAATAAAGGCTTTCTGGAACGAAAGGGACTAAAACTTTCCAGATATTTTGCCATCTCTAACTTTGTAAGTCCTTCCAGAGTTGGGAGGCATTTGATGGTCCTTTTGTTGTCATGGTTTTCAAGGCACAAGAATTAATCTGCCTTTTTTTGTTGTTTTATTTTGGTTTTGGGTTTTTCTAATTATTATTTTTATTGTGGATCTAGAAAGCAATTCCAATCTGTGCTGTTCATAGGTGCTTTTCAAACCACCCTGAGTTGCCGTACTGTGCAATCTCTTTAATTTTGTATTCATCAGTTGAACCATTGAGGTGTTTTCATAAGTAGGTTCCACTTATCCCAATTTTCATGTGTCTTTGAGGAAGGTATACAACAGGGTTTAAGTGGCTTTTAACTCTTTGAAGAAAATTAAAATTAATTTTAGGAGAAGCGTTATTTTATGTACCGATGAGAACCCCACAGCTTTCTCAGGGAGGTTGTGCGCTGCAGGAGGCCAGACTTTGGTGCCCATGAATGAATCAGCAGGATGGGAAGAAAATTCTCAATGCTTGGGTTTCCTGGGATACTTGTGCTGTTTCACAGCTGAAAAATGTGGACTGGGCAGGAAAAAAGTGCTTCAAACATCTGAGTTGCTCATTGCCTGAGCTGAAGTGCAGGAGATAGAGCTTTGCTGGTTTTTGCAGCGGCAGGACAAGCCCGCTGGGTTCAGCCCGTGTGGCAGGGGTCGCTGGGCTCGCTGTGTGTGCCGCAGGGAGCACATGTGCGCCAGGCTTGAAACATCTCCGTTGTGTGCCTGTGTAGAGGGTGTCTGCCCACATTTGCAGGGGAGTCTTGGAAGCGAGTGTGGGAGCAGTTAAGTGATGTCTTGGAGGTCACTGGAACAACAGCGTCGGGAAACCTTTGTTGGTAGTGCGTCCTCTCCGTGTTTGGACAGTTTTTCCCCTTCTCTAGGGGATTTGGTCCCAGCTCTGTTTGTTATTGCTAAACACTGAGCAAAGGAAGTCTAGCACTTACCTCTGTTTGGCTTTTACTACAGTCATTAATCAATGAAGACCGATGTATTGTGTGTGCTGTGTCTGAATACGTGTAGCTTAATCTCTCTCTCCTTATCTCTTCCTCTCTCAGTACCAGAAATTGCCCTTGCAAAATGAGCCAGCTTCCTCCGAAGAGTCCTTTGGTATCCCCGGTGTCAGAGGGCACGAATTCCAGGGTAGAGTCTTTGGACAACTTGTCAATGGACAGTTTTTGGCTGGAAGTAGAGAACATTAAACAGAGCGCCGAAGCCGAACAAGAGGAATGCAGCCTTGCAGATGTCAAAACGCAAGAGGGTAGGTTGCCAAAAATGATGGGAGTGAAGGGAGGAAGATGGAGATTTCAGAGAGAAAATTTACTTATGCGCCTGAATGATTTAGAAGCATGATGGGATATGATTAAAATAAAACCAGTCAATTTGGTTTTTGTTGGGTTTTTTGTTTGTTTTGTTTTGTTTTTTTTTCATTGAGTGGTGGATGATGCCCTGCAGAAAAGAGTTCTCGCCTGGCCTGGTTTCAGCTTCTGAAACAAAGCTGACCCTAAAGGTCAGTCAGGAGTATGTTCAGGGCTCTAGATTTTTATTTTTTATTTATTTTTCCAAACAGCCCCCACCAAGTGTGAGGATTCTGGCTCCCTTTGCAGGTGGCTGTGTGGGCAGCACGCTGTGATAGCTGACGGTGCCCTAGAAGGCTTGTCTGTACGTGATTCTGAGACTTCATCCCAGTGGCTTTTATGAGAGCTGCTTTTGTGGAAGGCAGACTTTTCTCCCTCTGGTTCACTATTCAAGAAACTGTAATAGATGTCTGGAACAACCTTGAGTCCATCCACACAAGTTTTTTCTTATAGACTGTGTCATGTGTATGGGGTATTTCTAATGGGCTTTCTGTAGCACTGATATTGTCCAGTATTGTGGAATAACTGGGACCTGGACCTTTTGACATGGGAGGTACAATGTCCTGGGCTGTTGGAGGGATGATAAACTGTGACAAGTGCCCAGTGATCCCAGGTTCCTTTCGAAGAATGTGATGTATATCCTCTTCAGCAATCGGGTGTGCAGCATGTATGGCCAACAGCTGCTGTGCTGGCTGATGTTGAGAAGGTTCCACGTGTCTAATGGGGAAATACTTGAGTGAAAGTCCCCATGTGCTGGGTAGATAGAGATCCTGGGTACACAGAGGTGACCCTGGAGAGAGGAGTGGGAAGACGATCATGTCTGCCATAGTAGGCAAGACACATTAAGGATTAAGGTCTAGTATCCCTACATAAAGATGTGAGTTTGTTCTTTAGAACTGGAAGAGATGCAAAAGTGACTCGGAAAACAAGTGCACCAGGAAGGAGACTCTGGAAAAAAGGCTGTGCCGTGAGATGAAAGGCTGTCTGGGATATCCAAAAGACTGATATGCTAGAGGCAATTTGATTACCGTGTGTAAGCAGGGGCACAAGGAAAAGTGTCTTTTAATGCTGTATATTAATCTAGCAGGCAAGCGCTCACTGCATAATTTGCCATTGAAACCAGACGGACCTGAAATAATGCTCTGAGGAGTGAAGCCTTCCTGGGGAAGGAGGTGCGGCACGCTCGACCTCCTGCAAGGGAGCTCAGCCAAACGAGCAGCGGGCTGAGAGTGCTGGCGGTGAGGAGGAACCTCTGATGGGGTGGATGCAGAGTTTGGCTGATGCCTCTTGGCTTTCATGTCTCCACAGTTTCTGGTGGGAACATCGCAGGGGCTTGGGGGCTCCTCAGAGCCAAGGGCTCCGTCACTCTTTGCGTAAAACCTGAGAAGCTGCTCTCGGGCAGCAGCTCCGTCTGGAGATGGTGTGCCTCAACCTGACAGACGGCCGATTGTAATCGCAGTTGCAGGGACAACATGGAGGCTACGGGTAGATAAGGCATCACACAACTGCTGACCCAGTTGGAGAACGCAGGTCTCCTGTGCAAGCCCTGGTGCAGGGGGAAGCTGCTTGTGACCTGGTGTCTGTGGGAGGCCAGCATGGAGCCTTGCAGAAGAATTGGGGTCAACTGAAAGGTGGTGATGTTGCTTGTGGCCTTGCTAACAGTTGAAGGGGGCAGAAAGTAACTTTCTCGTGAAATGCGAGCAGTGTTGTCCTTTCCTTGTTCTCTGCCCTTTACCCAGCTCTCCCCAAGGTCTGACAGCACAGATCACGTATGCGTTCTGTGCAGCAGTGCCACCGAAATATCTGCTAGCGTCCTTATAGCACGTGGTCATCTCTGAGAAGTGTCTGCAAAGAGGAATTCTTGTCAGCCTTTGTAAACTGTCTAGGAAGTTGTGCTTAATGTTTAGTCTGAAATTGTAGGATGTTGTAGCTGTCCTTTATGGAAACGAAATGCTTTCTGAATACTATTTCTATCTAGCTTATGTTTCAACTAGATTTTTTTGGAACTGGTGTTCTTTAGGTTGGCAAATCTATTCCCAGTTTTGCCCCCAGAGATGCTGCTTGTCTGGAACTCCCAAGGCAAATCTCAGCAACTCTCTAGGCTTAAATCTGCAGCTCAGCTTTGATGGATTGTTCAGTTCTGACCTGTTTGTGTCTGGTTTCCCCCTTCTCACTGTAAATACCTTATTTTATTAGTTTCCTTTTGCATTACTGGCAAACATAACTGGGCCAAAAATACTAAGGAGAGGAATTAAAATCTGATGCTTTGGCATCAGGTGGAGCAGTAGGCTCACACGGATGTCTGACTCAGGATCTGCTCTTTAGTATTGTGTATTAGATTAGCTTCCTGTTATGACTGGAACTGGATATTTTCAAAATTTGCAAGCGATACATTTCCTTTAGTTCCTAAAGACAAACTAAACCAGAAGTTTTCTGTGCACTGTGGGGCCGTGAAACCACAGATGTAAGACAAATGTCTGTGTGGTGAGGAGCTGTCAGTGGGACCCCAAGAGCATGAGCATCTGTAACCGAGCAAATGGTCCTGGGGATGCTCTTACCTGCTAACGTCTGTAGAACCAGACGTGGGGAAAAAACACGAGTTAAAACTGTGTAGGAAAACTAGACAGTTTGCTGCAAGATTTGTTAAAGGAAATACCTGACTTCAAGTCCAACTCTATTTATTGTGGTGCCATGCTGACAAAAGTTCTGTTCTGTTACAGCTCCCAATAGTGTTCTCCAAAGGCTTAAAAGAGGTTTAGTGGAGTCACAGTATGTTTTTTGCAAGTTGCATGGACACAGAAGTTTCCCCAGAAAAATGAAATTAATCTCTCAAGAAGAGCTGCATGACTTTTATTATTATTATTATTGTTACTGCAGAGTGCAGAGATAATAAAACTTTGCTTGAGCAGCTGTGATAACTGAGGAGACATCAGTTTGCATAGGAAAGGAGGGGTGGGAATGAGCTTGTTCACTTTCAGTCAGTTCAGCTGTGATTTTTTTTTTTTTTTTTTTTTTTCTTTTTCCCAGTATAAACTTTGGTAGAGCTATGCTGGAGCTGTCTACCGTGAATGAATGTGGTACGTAGAATTGAAAAGATAAAGGCTTTGTGGTGTTTGCTGTATTAAAGTTGAAGGCATCTGCTAAAGGGCTTCTTTCATCCTTGGATTTCAAGTAGCTTCCTTGCTCAGGGCACTTTCTCACTTGCACAAAGAGTGCATCCCATAAGAAAAAATTCTTTTGTGTTTTAAGTGCAGCTTTATATATATTGAAGAATAAAGGGAAATTTAGCTTGTTTAAGTAATTCTGCTGTACTGTCTCCAGGCTTCTCACACTTCGTGCTAGAACTGGAATGATCTTTAATTATAGTGATATTTTGAATAGGCACATATGGAAAGCAAATACACTTAGATCAGCAATTTTGCTTTTGATGAATGACTGTGTGGATGCCAATCTACTTAAAAAGGTAGAGTAGGGATGGTGCATATGAATAGTTTTGCAAGCATGTTAAATACATTTGAAACTCTCAGTGTCTGGATATTTAAAAAAAAAAGTTGCTGATACGTAAGCATACACGTAGATAAATAAAAATTAAAAGAAATAGCCAAATAATAGGGAAGACTACAAAAGCTGAGTTTGCAGTCTTGTATGTTGTAGCTTCTCACAAACCTCTTGTCTCTTCTCAAAGCTGTCAGAGGTCCAGGTTTGCTCCAGGGAAGCTCGGCCGTTCGTTCCGAGCTTGCTGTGCGCTGTTGCCTGCTGCCAGAGCTCCCCGTTTCACAGGCAGTCCGTGTGAAAGCGAATTTAAGTGATTTTCCTCTCATGTCCTGGGAAAGCCCCCAACTGAGTTCAGTTCCTGTTGGAATCCTTGTGCAGTCACACTTGTGCCGCTGCTGCTGTTCAGCTTGTGAGGGAGCCTGCGTTCCTGGCAATATCCGTGCCTCCGTGGTTTTGTCTTCTCTTTTTCCTCACCTAGGGTGAGGAGAAAGCAGTGTGTGGATAGTTAGAGCTGCTTAAAGTGTTGTCTCCTCTGGTTTCACCCTGATACCCAGCTGGATACCTGGGAACAGATTTTGAGAAGAGCTGTGGCTTCCTGACAAAGACGTGACTCCTTTCCAGCGATGTCCCGTTGCCACCCCGGGAAGGCAATGGCTCAGCCTTCTGGTTTTCTGCCTCCAAAGCGTTGCAGGCACTCTCATTGCTCTTAGCCATTCTCTTCTCACTCACCCTTCCTTTGCCTGGCAGAGGGAGAAGCTGAAGCAGAGTGGCTCCAGGACGCGGGTCTGTCCGACCTCCTCGGGGACAGAGCTTCGGAAAATGATAACCTCGTGCTGCTCTCCACCCTGACCAAGACCCAGGCTGCAGCCGTGCAGCGACGACTGGACACCTACACCCGCTCCCGGAGGAGGAAGAACAAGCATCCTGTGCGTGACGTCCGAGACATTTTTGGAGTGGTTGGCTCAGAGGTACGTTGATTTAGTGGGATCACCTGAAAGACTTTATTGTGTTTCTTTGTAGCTGATTTGGCTTTCTGGGTCGAGGGCTACTCTCATTTCCAAACAGATGACTTCATCTCTTGAGCTGAAATGAAACTGAGATTGCAGAAATTCTGCACCCAGCTTGCAGCGTTGAGAAGTTGCTACAAAACCTGCAGGTCCACAAGGTTGATGGTCTTATGAGAGACTGCTGGAAGACTTGTGGGCAGTGCCTACAGCACTGCAGCCTCGCTGATGCTTGTGTTGTTTGGAGCCCTCTTGCGTTTTCTTTGTTCCAGTGACGCATGAAATCATTAACCGAAAAAAGAGAGACCTTCAAGTTCAATTTTGATAAACTGACCTTGTACAGCTGGTAATCCTGGAGAAAGACTACCCCCTACCTTCTTGAGTAGCATGGGACCCTAGCTTCCCACTGGTACTCTGAATACTCCTTTTCCTCAACTTGGACCTCTTTGAAGTTTCTCTGCATATAATTTGTCCCGTTAGAGTAAAGTAATCCCTTGAATGCCTTAAGGAAATGACAGTAGCAGTCTGCAACATCCCTGGTAACCGCTGTGGTTGTGCTCGTTGTGACTGCCCCACGTTTTGGTGCAGATTGCTTTCCCTCCTGTGAACTGCACTGAGACAGTCGTGATTGATTCTGTTTCGCAGAGCATTACCTGCATTCCTACCGGGGTCGGTGACAAAAAGGTGATGTTTCTGGAAACAGCGCTGCTGCAAGGTTGTCTTAAGTGCCCCAATTGAAATTCAGCAAGTTTTAAAACTTGGGGGTTAAATAGAAACCTGTTGCATCTCTTTAAATAATTTTACTTTCCATTGTGTAGGGACAGAGATTTTTTAAGCTCTCAATTTAGGCATCTGCTTGCTAGGCTGTTAATATTTGCATTTGATAAGCAACTGAGATCCAGTCTGATGTTTTAAAATGACATTTTGGTGTAATGAGGATATGTACAAAGATGCTAAAATTGTCTTTTTAAAATAGTCTTTGTTTAATTAGATGTTAAACATTTTATCTCACATTACTTTAGGCAAGATCACTGCAGTCTTTTTACAATAACTCTGCTGGATTTATTCATATTTTCTTTGGCTCAATTTTTTTTTAAGCTTTTTTCTTTCTTAAAAATTTACATTCGCCTCCAAGATCTACAGTTTTTAGCAGAAACAAAAAACAGTGGAGCTTTTTTCCCCCCCTTTTTAATTAAAGATAGCAAGTAAATCTATTTTAAATGAGTCTGTTTCTTAATCTATTATCTAATCTAAATCTATTTTAAATGAGTTTGTTTCTTAATTCTTTGCTGAGCAGCTACTACTTCTATTTCCTTGCTTGTCTTTTACACCACCAAGGATTGGTGTATGCCCTCTTTATTTCATGAGAAGTGACAGATGCTCAACTTGGGCAGATGAACAATGCTTTCTATGTAAAATGTAATTTTTTTAAGATGTTACAATATGACACTGGATGTAGGCACTGAGCAAAAGTGCTTTACCCTTGAGTAATTCCTGGAGCAATCCCAGAAGGAAGCAGGCTTTTTCATTAGTTTTCCATACTGGTTTGCTGTGTTGTCCCGGTTCCAAGCGCAGTTTTGGGGTTCTGAAGGATGTATTCAGGAGCCATATGCCAGAAACCAGCCTAGCATTGCCGTAACACTTTTTTGAGGTGTGTAGAAAAACATGATAAATCCTTTATTGCGCAGAAAGGATATCTGAAATCTTCACTTTGTAAGTGAGGAACCAGAAGTGCAGAAAAGTCAAGATTTTTATTTTTTTCCCCCAGTCTCAGAAATTCCTGGTTTGGAGCCCAGTCTCAGTGCCTGTGCCTTTACTCGGTCGCGTTTTGGATGCTTCCCACTACTGGCAGCTCCCTCGCTATGCTGGGAGCAGAACAGCTGAATGGACTCTACCTACGGAAGAACTTGGGTTCAGCAAGCCAAGCTTAATGCTGAGTCAGTTCAGCTGTGACTTTAGCGGAAGCAGCTCAGGCTGCAAGAGTGCAGGCAGCAATGTGTCACAGTGATATGTATTTTTATTTCTGTCTGTGTTTTTGATGTGGGTTTGCCGTTTGCCTCCAGTCCATGTCTGTCAGGAGCTGCTCTCGGGCACCAAAGCTACTGGCATTTCTACCTGAACCTTTCTACTTATTTCCCCCTTGTTACTGCTCACACATCAGCTGGATCTGAAGGTGCTCTGACATTATTCATGGCACAATCTGTGATTTAGCTGTAGATGCTAAATGGATTGATTCTGCTTTCATGGCAGCTCACCAGTTGTGCGCCTACTCTAAAGATAAAATTATATTTGCTGTCCAGATTGACTGTTTTGTACATTTGCACTGACTTTGCACATGTTCCTTTTAACTTTCAGTCCTTGGTCCTGAACTCCATGTCCATGTCTAAAAAATGAGGGAAAGCTCTCCAGGAGAGTGCGAAGTGCCTTACTTTAAAAGAGTGCTTCTTATACTAGCTCCTTCTACAAACACATACAACAAGAAGTGCTTTTTTAGTATACAGCCTGACATGCAGCTTGGATACCTTTGACAATAGAATAAGCTTTCCTATATTCTAACTAGTTCTGGCAAAAGTAAGGCTTTTATTAATAGAATTGCCTGCCAAATGCCTCTTTACACTGTTAAAGATTCATATCTCTCTGGACATGAAGAGGTAGGTTACTGTGAAGCCTGTGAAGGGAAACTTCTAGGTGCTGATGTCTACTTAGTGTGTTCTTTCTGTGAAAGATGTTGTGATCACAGACAGTGGGGAGATCCCACACAGCTTGTTGGGTCCGTTGTTCATTAGCCCTTTAGTGCAGGAGCTAAAAGGGGGAAATTGGCTAATGATTGTCTGAAAGGAAGAATTGGCTTAACGATGTGCAAGTTTACCATAAATACTGTGTATGAGACAGTCACCTCTTCCCAACTTGCCTGCCAAATCCTTTAATTATGATTCTTAATTTCAGAGCAGTCTTTAAAGCCCTGAGCTGGAGCAGCATTTTCTTAGACTAGCAGACAGTGCCAGGTGTGGGGGTTTAGTTGTGGTTTCTTGGGGTTTTTTTTCTGCCAACATTGGGTTGTCTTATAATAACTTCTGTTTTGTGTAGGTAAACATGTTCTGGTTTATTTTTTCAGGAGGCAGCAGCAGAGAAAGAGGCGTCCAGCCCAGATCAGTTGTTGCACAATCTACGGACTTCAAATGTACAGAAATGTAAGAAGGAAGTTTTAAAAATGTAAAGGAAGACTGAAAGGGGAGTAGGATCTGAAGCAGGGCTGGAACTGGAAGGGATGATATAGTAATCTGGGCTTTGAAATGTTGGCCTTTTTTGTGGGGTTGTTTTTTTGTTTGTCTTTTAAATTCATGCTTCTCTTTGTTACGTATTTAGTGAACTTTTCTAGACTGTAGTGTTGTTAAGAATTGTCACTCAAACTGATAACTGTAACTCTTCAAGAAAGCAACTAGAAGATGCAAATAAAATCACTCTAGCAAAAATTATATGATGAAATCCTATAAATGCCATATGTGATTGTGTAAAGAAAAGTTAACATAGGTATGTCCTTTAATTTAAGGCCGTGCTCATGTTTTACCAGTGATCTGGTGATTGTAGCTGTAGTTTAAGGCTTTAAGCTAATCTTACCCTGTTAAGGAGTCTCAGGATTGTGCTATGATGACAACACTCTTTTCTAACCTTAATACAGTTTTTAATTGAAAAGAGGTGGTCCCCAAATCTGTCTCAGCCTGTTCTTTTAGCACACTTCTTTTCTGAGCTTCACCACTCTGGCTTTCTGAATTCGCGATGATTTCTCCTCTGTAGCAGAAACACAGGATTACTCCTGCACAGTTCGAAACCCTGGAAAAGAGGAGGTGTTCAGCATGGATGTTGCCTACTCGGAGCAAGCAGCTGTCCTGCTCAAGGGATCATTCCTCTCTGAGTCAAGGAGGTTAAAGGATGGAAATGCCCTGACTGTAAGGACTGAAGGAATTTTTCCTCTGAGAACTTATCAGTCTCTCTTTGTTGAGATAGATACAAGACACTTGATTCAGTTGTATGATCAGCTTTTGGAAACACCCTCTGTGGTTAGCGTTGCAATGGGTCTGTATTAGGTAGATGGTTTTGAACAGCTAGTGCTGTTATTCTTCCAGGATTGGTCAAGGATAATATTATGTAGTGGAGGGTCAAAAAAAGTAGGGCTTATCCATGGAGCTAGCTATTTCAATATACATCTAGGTCATTTCCACTGAAAAGAGAGTAACAGGACTTTCTTACTCATAGTTCTAACAGTTTTCTTCTCTGCAGGTGGACTGGATTGCTTCCAAAGTTCAAGTAGGTTAGGGTGGGTATCAGGTAGTCTTTAATTTAGATAAATTGGGATCTCCAATGTTCTTAAAGAGCAATACTGAAATGGGAAAATATTTATTCAACTGTGGATTTGTAGGAGTAGTTCTGGGCATTTGTCTAGTGTCGAAAACAGGAGAAATGAATAGATACCTGGTTACAGTAAGGAATGATAAAAATGCATCAAAACTTGATAACTAATGAGATTAGTGATAATGTGCTCTGAACTTTTCGTGTGTATGTGTTTCCCTTTAGAAATTCAAGATTCCCAAGGGCAGGCTAGGTGTGACCAGGATTGGAGATCTCTCTGCTCAGGACATGAAGAAGATCCCCACGCTGGCCCTTATTGAACTAACAGCTCTCTGTGATATTCTGGGCTTTGAGCTGAAGAGAAACAAAGCAGCAAAACTGAAAACGACAGGTTAGTTCTATGTCATTTCAATTTTTTTTTTTGTGGCCTTGTTTTAAACCCTCTCATAGGTTTGTGTTTCAAATATCAGAACAGAGAAGGTCTTTTGATAAGAAACCTTGTGACAGGTGTGTTGTCCATGATCAGTCTTTCTCCTGGAAGTCACTGGATCTTGAATCAAGACCTGGCTCCAAATTTATGTCTGGCTATCAAATGCACTTGTCCTGTTTAACTATTTGTCTCTTTCTCAAGTCCTGTCATGGTCTGCAGTGGGGGATATATCTCTTACACCTACATTAGAGGTGATACACGCTTATAACCTGTTGTTTCTCTTGTAGAGAAAAGGCTCTTTGGAGTTCCGCTCAACACTCTCTTAGAAAATGACCAAAAACTACTTCCCAACACCAAGGTCCCTCTGTTACTTCAGGCAGTAAGTTCTCTTCTGGTTTCATTCACACCTCTGGTCCTCAAGGCCATGAAGCCTTTGAGGCCTGTGATAAGGAAGGGCTGACTTCTCATCCTCTGTGCCTTAGAGCTATCTTTTTCCCTCCCTTTAATAGCTGCTGTCCTGCTTGGAAAAGAGAGGACTTGAAACAGAGGGCATTTTGAGAGTTTCTGGGTCCCAGACCAGAATCAAGGTATGAACTCTTTAGTAGTTTTTGGAAGTGTCAGAGGTGTTCAGGGAGCATGCTACTGAAGCAACTATCTAAATAACCTGAATTGTCTCCTTGCCCTTCCCAGTACAACCAGAAATGTTAATTGCTGGGAAATCTGAGAGTGTCTGCTCAGACCCTCATGGGTCTCTGCACTCTCTTGACTTGGTGGGATGCCCTACTAGTGCTCGGCTGCAGAATTTCTTGTGTATGTGCTTATTAAAGCATGTAATAAATTCCATCTTTTCCATAGAGTCTGGAACAGAAGCTAGAAAGAGACTTCTACACTGGCCTGTTCCGCTGGGATGAAGTCCACCAGAATGATGTATCTGGGCTACTAAAAAGATTCATAAGAGAGCTTCCAGCCCCACTGCTGACAGCAGAGTACCTCCCTGCTTTTGCTGCTGTACAAAGTGAGTCCCTGTTTCAGCTGTTGAGCATCAGTTAGCTGGTTTGTGCTTTTCTTGCAGAGCTCTGCTGGACTGGTGCCCTCCCCTCAGGTGCGTCGGGAACCTGTGGAATCAGTAGGAACACTATATGATCCTGATATGATCAGCCAAACTCAGGGTGCCGGGTGTACTATCGTGTATCAACCCGAGAGTCATACTCCCTGGTGGCTGGTTGTGTACACCTTTGTGTAGGAATGTGGTCCTGAATTATATTGTGTCATTTGAGGCTGCAATTTGCTACCACCAAGTGGAGGACGATAAATAATGAGATGCTGTGGCATCTGACCAGAGTGCCCTGTCTTAGCTTGTCTGTGGGTAATGCACCTTATTTTGAGGTTTGTGCTTCGGTAGGTGGTTTGAATGTGTTAAGGTAACTTTTTAAGAACACAATTGCTTTTTGAGGTTTTTTGTTTTGTTTGGGAAATGGGGATTAATGTGGTCTTTTGATGCCCTTGAAGGGCGTCACACTTGCTGGTGGACTGTGTCCTCCAAAGCAAATCAGCCAGTCTTCCAAAACAGGCAGTTCACTTCATAAGAGCAGTATGAGCCTGATTTACTTCTGTAAAACAAGGTCTCAAATCCTAGATGACAGGCACTACAATAAGTAATTGCCTTATTCCTTGGCGGATTCCCATGCTCTTAAGAAAACAGTACCAGAAGCCTGAATCCTCTCTCCTGTTGTCGCTTTCTCTCTCTAGATATCCCAGACTTGAAGCAAAGATTGCAAGCTCTGAACCTCCTGATCCTCATTCTACCAGAGCCCAACAGAAACACTCTGAAGGTAACTCACCGGTTTGGATTTAACTGGAAAAACATGATTTCATCCCAAGTTTTTGTTCAAGGAACTACTGAGCCTATAGCTTGCTACCCTTTCTTGATCAGAAGACATTTCAAATCCTTTTACTTACTACTTTTGACAGAACAGATGCTGATGGGATCCGTTTCGAAGGTGGATCTGCCTTTCTGCGTGATAAGAACTGTGGTGGTTGCTGCTGCTTTTTTTTTTTGTTTGTTTTCTTCCTGAAGAGTTCAGCTTCCAGGTGATAAAGACAAGGCTGACTTAGCACCTTGCAAACTTTATCTAGAGTGCTGGGATACGTAATCCAGTCCAAGATGATCTGTCACACATCACAGCCCTTGTGGAGATGTGAAGCAGAAGAGATGGTCTAAAGGGGTTTATTTTTCAACTTCTGGGACTAGTTTTGAGGGGATGCTGGGGGGAAGGAGAGGTCATCTTTGGATTCTATAACTTCTACAACTGATTTTTGTGAACTCTTTCCTGCCAAGGACTGAGAGTTCGTCTGCTTCCCACTCAGACTGTACTTCTGATCTGTGAATGCTGAACAAACCCTCTCTCTGCTTGGTACAGTTAATTGTTGCTACCCTAGTATTAGAAATTGTTCACTGAACTTCCTGACTGGAGAATAAGATTTGCTCATGGATATCGAGACAAAAGGCTGATTAAATGATTTGTCCAGCAATTTCCACAGTAGTTTCTTGAGCATTATTAGTGATGGATGTCTCAAGTCTCTTCCACTCTCTTTAGGCTCTACTGGAGTTTCTGAGCAAAGTGGTTGCCAGGGAGAAAAACAACAAAATGAACCTCTGGAACGTTTCCACAGTCATGGCCCCAAACCTCTTCATGCACAAGGGGCTGCCAAACAAGATCCCCGAAGGGAAGGAGAAACAGCTGGCAGAGGGGGCGGCCGACGTTGTGCGGATGATGATCCATTACCAGGATTTGCTCTGGACAGTAAGTTGGGCAAGTCTTGGTCTGGTGAGAATTGGAGTAAGAGAAGAGATAGTCTTGGAAGTTTCAGTGGAGGTAAAATACTGTAGGAAAAAGCTGTCTGAATTCCAACACTGCCTGTTTTCAAGGTATAAGGATATTTTGTCTATTTAAGAAGCTTTATAAAGTGATGTTTAGCTTTTCAAACTGCATCTGCACCTGTGTTTCATCTGTTTTAATTCCTATTTTCTCCCTTCTCCCCTGCCCAGGTCTCCTCTTTTCTGGTAGCTCAAGTGAGAAAGCTGAATGAGAGCAATAGCAAAAGGTACCAGTTCTGCGACAAACGAATTAAAAATTTGTTGCGGAAGATTCATGCTGATAAAGACAAAGTGGAAAAGAACCAGGGAGAGGTGAGTTAGGGCTTGTTAAAAATGAATCCTTTTATAACTGTTGAATGCTTTCTTGAGAATTTGGAAAACTGTAAGGAATGATGCTCTTTAAAGAGCAAGAGGGAAAGAATCTGCAGAACAATGAGAAACAGCTTCCCAGACTTTTTGGGCCAGGTTTCAGCAAAAACTGATCCCAACAGCAGGAGTATTAAATAAATTTCAGGTTATAAAACACTCGGTTAAGATGCAGGTGAGGAGGGTGAAAACCAAAAGCAGAAATGCTGGTCTTCATGTGAGGTGAAGAGCAGAATTCATAAGGCTCTGGGTGTCCCGTGTGTTTAGACAGATGTGTCTGCAGTAACAAAAGCAGACTGTTTTTTCATGAACTTAAAATAAAAACCTTTTTTGTTGTTGATTGCATAATTGCAAGTCTGTGGCGGTATTGTGTAGCCATCGTGGTGCAACTGGGATGCTCTAAGGGTAGGAGCTAGATAGAGCCTCCAGGTAGTAATAATGCTTTGGAAGCTTCAGTGTGCATAACTGAAGAAGGGTTTGTGTTCCCACAAGCCAGTACATCCTGTGATATGGGATACTGCAATGATGTCTGCCTAAAATTTGGCTTGTCTGCCTAAAATTTGGCTTGTCTGCCTAAAATTTGGCTTGTTAAGGTGACATGTCACTGCTGAAGGTGAGGGCAGCCACTGTTTAGGCAGTGAACAGGTGACCCAATGCTTGGGATGTACTGTTAGCACTGTCCTAACGGTCTTGTAGAGGATTTAAGGCTGCAAAATTAACTCATTGCAGATCAGACACGGTTAGAACAGTTCCATATTCTCCACAAAAGTTCTGGGATGTTATTTCATGAAGGAGTTGATGGAAACAGACAAGAAAATAGCACTTGGACTCTGCTCTGTGATGGCTCAGTGTTTTCCTGGTTTGTGGGTTGTTTGTTTTTCTTTCCTTTTTTTTTTTCTTGAAATTACCTTTCTGAAAGTGAGTAGTCTGCAATTCAACTGTCTAAACTCCTTTTTCAGCAACTTAAATGAATTCTACAGACACGTGTCAGACTTGCATGAAGCAGTTTGTCAAAATTTATGCTGACAACTTGTGTCGTTCCTAGTGCTGGTGCTGTGTTTGAACAGCAGAGAGCACCAGTGCACGCAGATCGAGGGTGATGCTTTTTTCCCCAGGCACAACACTGATGCACTGAATTCATGATTTTTGATGCTCCTATAACCTTCCAGCCTGGAGTATGTGTGGGATAAGAAGCGAACCTAAATTCTCTGGACAGCTGGCTGGATAATTTTAATGAGAATTAAAATTATCCAACCATTTTCCTTACTCTTCAGTGTGTTTTGAAACTTGATGTTTCAGCTGATTGCAAAGTCTTTCTTTAAGCCCTTTCTTGGTTTTGCTCACCTTCCTCAGCCTTCCAAGATTGTGAAAGTCCACGCTTCGCTGCTCCTGAAGGATTCGCTGGAGGTGAACTTGAACAATGCGACCAGAGTTGCTGATGTCTTGAGGCAGTTTCAAAAGAACCTGTGCCAGAATGGGTGGAATATTGTGAACACTGTCAACCTCCTCAAGTGGTAAATGGCTTTTTATTTATTTATTAATTGATTTATTTCAAAAGAAAAAAAAAAAACAAAACGTGGTCTAACTACTGTTTTCTCTCTTCTGGCAGAGCTGATGGAGTGGCACAGTAAGCCCTTAGGGGAGACTGTTCTCTGCTCCTCTGTTCTAAGCTTTAGAGGTAGTGTGTTGGGTGGGGCAAGCAAATATTAGTTCAACTGAGTGACTCCATCACTGTGCTGAGGCTGTCAGGAGGTCAGTAGTCCCCTCTGGGCTGCTGGACAGCAAGTGGACTTGTGCAAAGCCCTGCTGAATGGAAGGGAAAGCGGAATAACATTGACCCTGCAAAGCAAACCCTCTCTAGCTCTCCTGGAGAAAAACATCACTGTGCAAATTATTTGCCTGTGGTAGTATCTCCAACATGCATATGCTAATGTAGGAGCTTCCTAAAATAAGCAATGTGCTTCCTTCCTATGCTCCAGTGGTGAACTGCAGAAATAACTCGAAAAACAGATTAATTCCTGCCCCCCTCTGTCACCACACCTGCCGACTGTGTTTAGTCAGTAAAGTGCATCTCCTGACTGTGTCCCTGGGCAGGAGATGTCTAGACAAGGGTGGAGGGGAGCTTGGCTGGATGTGGGTCAGCTGGGACTAGCATCTCCCTAACAAGCTACTGCAGCTGCCAAAGTCTTCCTGCAGATGAGCTTCTCTTGAGCAGGCCGTCAGTTCTAGAGGAATGCTGCCAATGAACTTTGGTATTTATGCCTGTTGTCTTCTTACTGAAAGGTTAGTGTTTGCATACAAGTGTGCTTCTTGCTGCCAGTGAGAAATATCTGCCTCGTTTTCTTTTTTTCTGGTTTTAGGTGTCCTTTTCAAGAGCTGCACCATTCAGGAGGGTCAGCAGGGTCTCTGTACTATGGCCTCTAGCTTGCTTGACCATTGCTGGTCTCTGAACCATAAGTGTTTTTGGGGAAGAAACATTACAGCCTTTTACAGAGCTTTGTTAACTTCAGTGTGGTTTTCTTTCTGCAGTAACAACTCAACGGAGTGCACAAACTTGCTCCTGTATGAAGTGGGAGGCAATATTGGTAAGTCCGAGTGGCAACTGAGAATAAGGACTCTGGTATGCCGGTTTTTGCTGAACTTGTCTTAGGAGGGAGTTAGAAAAAGGATGAGATTTGGAGGGAGGCCTCCAAAAGTTAGAAGGCAAATGAACAAGTGTGGGTTACCCTCAAGCAGAGCAAAGAGCAGCTGTCCAAGCTCTTGGGGTGATAGTTGACATGCCTTCCAGCCATCACTGCAAAGCCTTCCTACTGCCAGTATGTGGGAAAGCTGAAGCCTAGACTTCCAAAAATACTGATGGATCTTGTTCAGAAGATGCCTGTCAAGACAGGTGGAAACTCAAAAAGTCTTCTAGCCAGAGACATGAGAAACTTTGTCCATCTTAAAACACACTAGCCTCCCTTTCTGTTAAACCTACCATGTTAATCTGCCTCTCCCCTCAACAATATTCATGCTTAAAAATAAACGTAGAGCTTAAAATTACGTTCACTGAAGTAAAGGGCAGCTTCATGCTATGCCGCTTGGCTTTTAATTGTGTGCTTCTTATCTGGGCTTTAATTGAACGCGGTGTCTGGCACGTGGCGTCTGTACTAAGGACTGCCAGTTCTATCTGCCGTCATTGACCTTCTGACAGCAGAACCTGGACTACCTTGGGTGGAAATTTCTCAAACTGTGTAGTTAAACAAGTTGATGTTCATTACTCATCACATTCTGTTTGTCAATAGGGTAATGTCAACGAATGGAGAGGAGGTTTAAATAAGAGGATGGCAGCAGCATATTAGGGGTGTCTGAAAATAAAAGGAATTCTTATGTCCTGTTACAGCTGCTTCTGGAGACTGTCGGTGACTGGAGTGCTTTGGCTGCCTCATAGTACTTCTCTTAGTGGCCTCTGTAGAAGAAAAGCTTTGTCACTGGAAACAATTCAGTCTCTGGATTTGATCACTTACACACTTTGTGATGGTTTTCAAGTGCTAAAGTTATTGGGTATTAGCGTACCTTTCCACAAAGGTCAAAGCTTGGGCTTAGTATGATTTTAAGGAATACACATTAATTTAACTTAAATAACTAGAACTTTCTCCAGATTTATGGAAACACTTCTGAATGGTTGTGATACTGAAATTCATGTGAAGAAATACCAATTTTTAGAGGGGGGGAAAAAAAATGAACACCCAAACCTAGCAACTATAGGACTAAGGAGAAGTTTCACTCAGAATCTCTTGTTTTGATAGGTGAACATTGCCTGGACCCAGACACTTACCTCTTGGACTTGTACCACATCAACCCCCACGCTGAGTGGATAATTAAGCAAAACCCATCTTATCCTTGGATGTTCTAAGGAAAACATGAGCAAAGTGAAGCATTTGGCTGAAGTTTTTGGAAGGCATGGAGAAGCTATAGCGACGTTCCTGGTGCAGCCACAGACTGGAGAGTGCTGGACTGGCTTGGTTTACTAATTCCATGGCAGCTGACTGGGAGAGCAGAGTAGCCTACATGCCAACAGAGGTGTTGATAACAAGCAGCAGTTACGATTACGTAGCAGAATTTGCAGGAGGGGTGATTAGTTTTGGACAATATAGCCCCCAAAACAAACCCTGCAAACAAAGCTACAGCGATTGTGCAGCAAGGACAGAATATAAGCGAAGAAACGTTTTCCTGGAGATGGTAGAAGACGTCTGTTTCTTCTTGGTTTGCCTCAGTTTTTTGGTTGTTTTTTTTTTTAATCACATCCACGCTTTGGAGAAGAGACAGTCAAATGCTGCAGAGGTACTAATGACATCCCTTTGAGACCCACTACTGACTGTTACACATCACCAGAAGTTGTGATCCTGGGTTTCACTACTAAGGTACTGTTACATCCTTTGGGCAATGAAAAAGGATACTTCCAAAAAGGGCAGAGGAGATGTGAGGCCAACATCCTGCATTCAGTGATTACAGTTAAATATGTATATGCAACACAAGAAAATACCTTTCCTTGGCAAAAAGTATGGGATGGACAGCAGCCTTTCAAATATGCAGTGTGATAAGAGAGATGCCTGTCCCATACAGCTCTGCTGGTAACACAAAAACCGTGGCTAAAACTTGCATTTATTTTGCTGGACAACCTATATAGCAACAGATAACCAAGGAAATACTCAGGTTAATTTGAGGTTAGTAATCTGACCTGGCCACGTGAATTGAACTTCTTTTCGGAAGACTCTGTGTGAAGGTGTCTGTTTAAAACAAAACCAAACCGAAAAAACTCTTTAAGACCTGTGGTGGCTGAAAGAAGAGGTCTGTGCCTGTGTCCGCTCATGCGGCGGGAGCAGAGTGGAGCCGTTATGGCTCTGCCTGCCCGTTTTCATCCCACAGGGTGATCGCTGTGGTCTGCAGGGATGAGGGCAGGGCAGAACACTTGTGCCTCTGCTCAAGCCAGCCTTTCCTGTGCAAGAGGAGTGCAGAAGCATCGTTTTCCAATGGGATGATGTTAAAATACCTCACGTGAGGGAACCTTCTATGCAGTTACTGGGGACAGAACGTGCACCATTTCTGAAAATCCCAACGTCTGTTTTTTATATACTAATTTTAAACGCTATTGGATATTTATTCATGCGGCAGAAGAAGGGCTGCCCCGCAAAAAGTATTTCACTTGCCAAATCCTAGCTGCACTAGTGACAATCTCCAGTATTATTTCTTTTGTTGAACGAATTTGTTTCCATTGCAGTCTGAACTTTCGCTCCTCTGCTTTTTTCCCCCAGGCTGATGTGTAGCTATCCCTATTCTTTATCTCAAGGTCCCAGTTTCTATTGTCAGGGCTCTTTGTTCTGTGGTTTGTCTTGTCTATGTGGTTAAGGTTCTTGTGCTGGTTAAGATTCTTGAGGAGCAGGTGAGCCATAGCTGATGTTCTTTCTAACCTGTTGTGAATACTGTGTGAGTGGTGCTGACGTCTTGAAATCATGCAGCTGTTGGAGGGTCTGTCTACTTTTTTGGTTTTGTTGTTGTGATGATGAAGATCCACTGGTGAGATCATCTTCCTAGTTCCATAATAGGAACTTGCAAAAAAACCCACATCTCAACCCTGACCCAGAACCCCAATGTCAAGACTTCTTTAGGTACCTCTGGTTTATAGGGCTTAAATTGTGCCTTTTAGGGCCTCTTGTGTCTCTTGAAAGATCAAGCTGCTTTAAAATTGGGCATTAAAAATCGATGGTACCTATTCACTCATCACTTCTGGAAACCTTCGATGTAGTGGCGGAGCTTAGCAAAGAGCAAATACCACAGATGTGATACCTCTATGTGTTAGGTATTTCTTAGAGTACCAATATGAGCTCAAAGATCCTTTGCAAGCTAAATTGCGTCCCTGCAAATCATATGACGGTGCTTTTTTTGCCCACTCCTCCTATGCTGGATGTTTCACGAAACATTCTGGCTTCCATACATAGGAAGGGCAAACACTGCATCATTGTTTCTGTAAACAACAAATGAGTGGGTTTTTTTGAACACCAAACAAGGTGAATCAGTGCTGTGAAAATCAAGGTTGGGAGATTCTCGTGCGACAAATATGAGTTCTCAAATATGAAAGGAAATGTTAAGAAAAAATTGAAAGTCATCTCCTTCCAGATGATGGATATGCTTTTTTTATTTTCCTGTCCTATATTGTACCAAAAAGTAAGTATGACTTTGTCAGTCACTGACGTGCAACCTAATTCTGAATGCTGGCTTTTAATACCCTTTTTTAAAAAGAATTTTTAATTCTGTATTTAAAATTCATTTATTCAGTGAAATAATAAAAATACAGAAAAATCTTTTGGCTTCAGTTTCATTAGTGGCTGAGAATTAGTGCGGGAAATGGCACATTTGCAAAGGCCGTCAGGATTGGCCTCATGCCTAAAGAGATGTACCTGGGATCTAAGTGAGCTTGGCAGGGGTTTCACGTTGCAGCTTCAGGAGGAGTTCCTCTTCAGACGACCCTGTGGGGAAGCTGCATAAGAACGATCCAGGAGGAGGGAAAAGGTCAGTGTTGGGTTTAGAAAGCGTGCAGAAAAAGCTTTGGAGCTGGTGGCTTAAGAGGGCCTGAAGGTCTCTGAACGCCAAGAACTAGTTCTGAAGGAAGAAGAGCTGCTGGTAAAGACTTAAGCTTAGGGGAGGGCAGCTGTCCACATCCCTTGAGAAGTCCCCTTCTGAACTGTGCTCAGTGACAGAGGTGCTGGGAGAACTGTCAGAGTTGGCCAAGAATGATGGGAGTCCAGTCTGAATCCCTGGTTAAATTCTGACTAATATTTTAGTGTTCAATACTCAGTGATGAAACGTGGCATAAATGCACTGCTGTTTGTTTAAAAACAGGAACAGCAGCAGCCTGTCCCATATTGCTGATAGAAAAGCAGGACTTGCCATCCTTTCCAGAAACAAAAGGAACGGGAGGAGGATCCAAGTGGCTTTTGAAAGCTTTCAGAGCAATTATCTGAGGAAAACACCAGCTTATCAAACTCATCTCACCCATTTGTCTTCAGTAGTATCAAAGTGCTAATCTCTCCCATCCCCAAGGGCTTTTTTTGCTGATTATTACACAGCTCTCTCCTCTGCTCAGCACAAAAGCCCCTTATTTATTCTGTGTGCAACGTAAAAGTCAGGTGTGCTGAGATAACAGGACATCACATAACCAGCATTTGCAAGATTCTTTTAAATGTATTTGTGGATGAAGTGGAACTGAAATACCACACGTTAAAAAAAATGAGTAACTGGTTTCAGGAAAAAATATTTGTACAAATACAGGCACAAATGAAACTGGCTCTCGTAGGGAGATGTCACAGAAAGACTATAAATGCATTTCATGGAGGAAAGTAAGTAAATGACAGCAAACACTGTTGTAAACAAAATACAGTTGCATTTGATGAAATCAATTTCTTTCCCCTAGTGCACTCCCCAGTGTTGAAAACAAGACAAATGACATCTGTGTATTTGCATGCTGAGAGAATGAAACTTTAAAGTTTTCCCCAAATCCTGTCTGGTCTTGATCACACATGAGGATTGCATCTGCCTTCACTTTGGGGGGGAAAAACAAAGGGGCTGTAGTTCAATACTTTAATTTATTAGAAGATAAAATCTGCAGTGATTTGTCAGCTGGGAAATGGCCATGGCAAGATCAGTGCCTGTGGTCTTCGCCAGCTGTCTCTATTCCCTACTTGTAGGCTTTTTTTTGGTGTGGTGACAAACACTTGCTCGACGCAGCTTTGTGCTGGATGTCCCTTCCCGGTTCCCTCTGGTCCAGGGGAAGGGAGGTGACCTTCCCACCAAGGTGCTTCTCCCCAGCACTTGGACCTGTCAGGATCCTCTCAGCTCAAGCAGTTGAAATGTTTTCCCCCACACTGTTACCTAGCGTGGTCTAAAGGCTGGTATAAAGAATGGGGAGGGGGAGAGGAAAACTTTGTTATGCCTAGTCCTTGAAAGGGAACTTGGAGTGGTGATGTCTTCACCTATCTGACTCTCTTGGCTGTCCTTGATTGCCTGGTAAAGTTGAAGAAGTAATTACCGAGGGGATAAAGTAAGAAAAGAAGAAGAAACCCAACAGAAATCGAGAGTGCGGGTATTTCATTTCATAGAATGGTCTAGGTTGGAAAGGACCTTAGAGATCATTGAATCCAACCTCCCTGTCATGGGCAGGGACGCCACCTCTCGACTAGATCAGGCAACACATGGGGACCAAGTGGGAATCAAGCCCGGGACCTCGGTGTCATTGTTGCCAGCACGGCGCTCAAACCACTGAGCTAACCGACCCCCTTTTTTAGACCTTCCCCCCCGGGGCGGGGGGTATCCCTGTGTTGGGCTGTTTGGGTTTGGGTTTTTTGTTTGTTTGTCTTGCGGTGTTGGGAAGAGATGCAGATGCACAGGAGCTCTGCTGTCCTCCCTCATCCCAAACCTTGCTCTTGGCACGCTGCAGTAGAAACCTGCTCCAGTGCTTCCCCATCCTCCGCAGGCTGACAACCAAAGGCCAGTTTCCATCACCTTCAGCTTTGCTACCCTGCTCCCTTTCTGCCAGGAGGATGAGGTGAGCCTTCAGTACTTGTTGGTCCATGCGTGTGGGTGGATGATCCAAGCTGTGCATGGACTGCTTGTGACTTGTGCTGAAACTGAATCTTCTGAGCCTTACTCAGGGTTTCATAAGGCCTGAGGAGCACACTTATATGGAACCACCCTCCTGCCTTACTTCTTTGTATGTGCCCGGTCACTGAGGATGGAGTCAGTTCCTCTTATCTGTGCTGATGACTGTAGTACGCCTTCTCTGGACACAAGAGGCAGTCAGAAAGTGGAATAATTGCCTTTTACTTACAACAAACCAGGAGAGCTGGCTCAGGGTTTCAAGAGAGACAATTAAAGATATTGCATTGTTTTCTTCAAAAGGAGAAATAGACCTGGGGTTTCCCTAATAGCCCTCCTGATTC